ATCCAACCACCATTTGCAATCGATAAGGTTGCTCCTGAGTAATGAGACACAATGATCCAAAGGATCGGAAAGCATGATTTGTTGATCGTGCAGTGATTACTGAAGGGACCTCATATGAGCTCCTCCCAAAGGAAGGAGAAGCTCGAGGGATGCCCACATCCCCAATAGAGAGAGAGAACAATCCATGTAGTAGGAGAAGAAGACACAAGTAAAAGCCTAATGGCTCCTTCCATGGTTTGAAGCCTGATAGTGGTTGGTTGAACACGACTTAAGAGTATTGAAACAAACACCAAGATGGACGAGATATTGCATTGGTGGCATAATAGATTTCTCCAGTCTAATAAGGAAGCCCACTTTTGTGGCTTCTGAAAGAAGAATCTGAAAGTGTTGTTCTTCTGTTTGACAGGATGGTGCCAGAAGAATCCAGTCATCCATATAATGATGAGTGTACATGTTCAAGGAATGTATATGACGAGGAAAAGCTTGAACAACTATGCAAAAGATATAAGGCTCTGATGCAAGACCAAAAGTTAGAGCCCTGAACTGCAGAACCTGGAAGGTTTCTCAGATTTATGCACAAGGATCCGGGAAGATTCTGCTATGGGAATATAGACAAAGCATTAATAATTTCGAACTTCCATAGCCCTGGAAAAAAGTAGGTTGAGAAAGGATTCCATAGTAAATCAAGGAGGATCTGAAATTAGTTGAGTCGAGACAGGTTGATGATTTGATGCCAATCTCCTGTCTTCTTAAATTAACTCTCTCAACATGGGCTCAGTCAATTTGACCGACCACGTAACTTCTTTGTACTCAATTAAAGCCTTTATAGATTTAATACTTCAAACTTTCAATATAGTGTGCATATCTTCACAAAATTTGGCAGTCTTTTAGTTCATATTATGTCTTTCACATACAAAAAAAATCATATTTTTAGTGAAGAATTTTTAATAAAAGAAAATAAAGATTTGTCCATTAAATAAATATAGTATTTGTTTTGAATAGTCCATGTGCAAAGCAATTTTCATGTTAAAATTAAAAATACTTTTCCTCATCTAAAAAATCTTAAATTTCCTTTGTGTAACCCCTAAAATTTCCTAAATGTTCTTCAAACTTTTTTTTCAGTAAAACTTTATAGTTTGTGTTATTTTCTTTACCCTATCTCAAAACAGGATCGTAACCATCACCACCACCAGAAAAAAATAAACATAGAAATAAACCTAAATTACCTTTTTCTTTATAGAATGACTTTTTAATTATATCATTATTACTTATTTTACCTAATATAGTCCTAAATAACTTAAAAAGACCCATATTTTTAGATTTTAGTTACTTTTATAATAATAAATATGAAAAACAAGAAATAAAGTATTTACCCAATCTTTTTTTTTCTTGCTCTCGGGTTTTTGATGAGAGTTAACCCTAATTTTATATACTTTAGATAGTAATGCACTTAATCTTTATTTAATTAAATAATGCACCAAAGAATATAGACTAATAACATGCATAAAGTAAACAAATTCACTTACCTCTCAAAATTTTATGCTATTCTAATTGGTATAACATAAACATAAAGTAGTTTAATAAAATTGTAGAAAGTAAGGGTTTTTTTTTTTTTTAACTAACACACACTCTACTACAATGTAATTTTAATCACATTAAACTAATGTTTTCTAGGGGTGACTACCAAACCCAAAATGACGAGCTGATGGTGAGTGGTAATGGGGTTTGGAACATTTTGGGTTTAAGCTCCCACATCCTAGCCCCTGTTTGATTTTCCTTGATAGCCATCTTGTTTTCCACAAGTTTTGGGATTATGTCTTATAAACAGAGTATCCTTACTAGTTTTGGGAGATATTGCCACAGGTGTTTTCTTTTAAAAATTATACCTTTTGTACTTTCTTGACAAATCTTTTTGATGGATTCTGTTTGGATTCTCTTTCTGCTACACATTATAATACACTGAGTCATATGGAAAGCATATTTGTCTTAAATTTGGTTTTGCTTTTTACATATTTTCAGCAAATAGTGTTGATTTGTGCCTACATACTTTTGATGTAGATAACATAACTTCAATATATATTTACACACGCATTTTGTCAATATTAATGGTTCCTTAACCTGTACTGATCAAAAACAGTTCAAAGAATTACCTGATCCATTTATTGGTTTACTACTAGTATGCACAGGTTTGCTGCTACGCCCATCAACTGCAAGGACAGGAATAGACTGAACATTACAGAAGTCCATAGGAGACAGGAGCGGAAGTTCTGAAGCTGGTGGTGGTCTCATCATCGATGGCGGCTGGAATATTGAACTAAGTGCTACTTATACTGACAAAGCTGTAACCATTTTAAAGACCTGTTCTAGTTGTTATTATTACTCAATACTACATGCTACACCATGTAGGATGCAGATGTTAAAGGTAAAATAAAAAATACCTTTTAAAGAAAACATTAGTCTAATGAAATTTTAAAACTGTAGCACAAAATGAAAAGTTGATAGAATTCAGTCTGTAACAAATTTACAGCAGTTATCTTAAAACTGAATGAAGAATGACCAATAATAAAAAAATCCCTGAAAAAAAAAAATTTAACTTACTACACCGATCATTTTTTGAAAATTTTAATAGCCTTGGTTTCTTAGATTCCTGGCCAGAATAAAAAAATCCCTCATAAGCACGCACACAAAAAAGCAAGAAAATTGATTTCATGAGTGGACAAACTAAAGAAAGGTAAATTTTTCAATATTTGCAAAATAAATTATTTTAATAGCCTAGTACTCAATTTCTGCTGGAACTCTGTGTATTTGTGAATCGGCACCTGTTTTGGATGTTTTTTAATCTTAAGGCAGAAAAATAATTAATTTTAAGACTACCTTGGTTGCTTTATTAATTGATACTTGCCCAATGTAATTAAATACATTAGTCCCTTGTAGCCCCGTCACAAATAGTAGGTCTCAATAATGTTTAAATTATCTTCCAAAACTAAAAATATCATTCTTGCCAACTAGGATCTATACATTTCCCCCTAAAAATACATTTATATTGTTGCTATGGTTATTAGCCTAAACTAACTCTTGTATACACACACACACACACACATGCATATTCTCACCTGAGACAACAATGCAGTTGAAAAGGAGTCGTTGTATAAAACACTAGTTTCTACAGTAGAGCTGACTGGAAGTTGGCTAACAGGAACCTGGGGTGGAGAGTACTTCAAATTTTGTTCAAACATAACTGGAGTAAGAAGAGAAACAGAAGCTGAACTTGTATTTACTGGAACAGTCTCTGTGATTTTTGGCTGGTTAGTTGTTGATTCAAAAGAAGTAAATGCTGAAGAAACTGGGCTCATGTTAAACACAGGAGAAACAGACTGACTGACTTTGTTTACTGCATCTTCTGTTTTACACTTTGGAATGAGTTTTAATTTCTCCTTCAAGTCTTGTTCAAGACTCTGAGCTGAAGCTGAGGTGTGCAAAGAGCTGGATTTTTCTAACATGACATTTGAATTTGGAAGTCCTAAGTCCCCAGAGCAAGAAGTGGCTCTTGTCCGTGGAGTATATGACCCAGAAGCCTCCTTCCTCTGTTCTCGTTCAATGTGTTCAAGTATATTGGCTGGATTGGACATGAGACGTTGTAGAATGGTAGCTGAATTGTTCTCTGCCAACTTATCAGATTCTATGCCATCCAGCCCTTCTGTAGACTGGGATTTTTTTAGTATTGGGATGACACTTGGAGGATTCTTGGAGTTCACTGGATCATGGAAAGGAGACATTTGCTGCAGTGTTTTATTAGCAGAAGCAAAGAGAGAAGCCACACTTAAAGAAGTAGTAACTGGTACTGATAGCCCTTGAGAAACTACAGTGTTAGATGTTGGTGTTCCCCTGATAGCCACAGGCTTGATAATTTCTGAGTGTGCAGAACTGTCAGGGTGGGTTTTATGGGATACATCTGTGATTGCATCAGGCCGTGTTTTTACTCTTTGGTTTTTCATTTTGTTCTGTCAAAAGAAAAACAAACACAGCCATTAGAAGAATGGTTATATGATGTATTTGTGTGTGTATTTTCAAGTTTATATTTGTTTTCTGCACTAATACCAAATTTCAATTTTTTGAAAGTGACCTAGACCCTTTGACCCAAGTCAATAAAGTTCTTCTCTAACCTCATGGGAAGTGACTTGTAAAATTTGGATAAAATCTTCTGTTTAGAACTCAAGATTTCCCATGGGATGTACAGACAGACAATGCCAAATCTTTTGGTCAGTGGGAGATAACAATAACATTTCTAAAACATTTCTCATGATACAAAGAAAATGAATGCTTGAACAAAAAATACAAATTACTGGGCTTATAAGGAATAAAACTTATATCAACACAATTTTTGACTTGGATTTGTAGCAGTAGCATGTGATGCTTCCTTAGGCTTAGAAAATATTATTATAAACTGGTATTATTTCAAAATATAGTATTTCAATTCTGCCATAATCTTGCTAATAAAGACTAATCTTAGATCATTTTTCCAATAAAATGTTTTAGGAATTTTGCATAATCAATTTTTCAATTCAGACTGCATTATGGAGTGTTGTACATGTAATGTACTGGTAATTTTGTTAAGCCTAAAAAACTTCATTTGATACTACTAGAACTGTATAGCCTGTAAAATCATAATAAAAGTGTAAACATCAAACAACATACACTAACACATTTACTTAGGAGGAATCTTTTTTTTTATGTTATTGCTTGATTCTTTGGATTTATTTGGAAACCCTAAAGTGAGTACCAGAATCTGTGTGTGCAACTTAGTTTTGGAACCAAAAAGAAGGAAACTGTCAAAGTTTGAAAACAAGTTATTACATGTGGACTTGTCATAACAGTTTACATTATGACTTGGACTTTCATTGACGATTTCTTAAGATCCAAAAATAGAAAAAGAGGAAATTCTTAATGTTCTCTAACAGTGTTTTTTAAGATGGGCAGTGAGTAAAAAACAAAAACGAAAAATGACTGAAATTTAAGTTTACACATAAAATACAAAAGTATTCAATCAGTTGTGACGTTTGCTCTCTCGGTCTTCCCTCGTTAATTTATTTATTACTACTCTTCTGAGAAATATGGAATTTAATGAAATTATTCATTATAATAAAGTTATTAGTCAAGCAAAGCATAATTTTCATAGCCTTCAATCTTATTTAGTTACATGACCCCCTCTAACAACAGCCACCTGTCTCATCCTCTCTTTTAGAAATAGCCAATAGTTCTCTCTGATGTTTAATATTATATTGTTTATAACCAACAGAAAGCCATAGTTTTAATCTATCAAATGACTTGTTATATTACTTTGTTTCAGTACCAGAAATTGTCTATTTCACTTCCAGTTCAAACTTTATTCCAATGGGAAACACACTGACAAGTTTAGGTGAATTTTTAATTGGCTCTTGTTGCATAGTCAGGGAAGACTGAGGATTTTTTAAATACCTCCTCATAAAATTAAGAACTTAAAAGTTATATTTTTTATATTTGATTTATTACCTGACTTGATTCCATGTTTATTCTTACATCATGATAATAAAGTAGTTTAATTAAATTTTGAATGTAACTCTCAAAGTCATGACATGCAAACTTTGACCTTGCTGTGGGAAGAGGGTTAAAAACTTACTTATGCCTATTCCACTTTCCATGGTAAAATCTGGCTACTTAATGTGAAGCAAATAAGATCTTTAGTCAACACTAAAGAGATACAGACAGAAAGACGACGACGACAAAAAAAAAAAACACACAACAACAACAACAACCCTAAGGCAAAAGTTTAATATATGACACTTACTTATGAAATACACATGGAAACCAAAAAATGACATGAGATATAGATTTTCAAAATAATCAAAAGATCTGAATGTAAGTCTGACAACTAAAGACAAAGCTTAAATTTCATTAATTCCTTACACCTGATTACTGGGAATTGGTGATAGTACACGAAGCAAACAGCTTGTTTTGACACAAGTTATATTAATTCTTTAATTTTAATTCACTAGCATTACTGATTACACTTTAATACATATTATATTACTTTAATAAATTTTTTATTGTCTGCATTTTACTACGAGGATTATTTTGTATTATTAGTTTAGCACATGGATTTAGAACTAATCTAAATCTCTTACGATGACCGAACCTTGCAAGGCATTATTGGTATTACAGTTGAAAATATCGCTAACAGTGAAGGTACCAAAAGGATGAATCAATGCATTGAAATCATTATAAGTAAGAATGGTACATTAAATTAGCTAAGTTCATTATTGAATTAATTATTAGTTCTGGTCATTAGAGGTAGCTTGCTTTGGTCTGAAGTTAATAGTAAACTTTGGGTCAAATGCAGCAATTGTTATGCATACAAAGGTCATAATTAAATAAACAATTTAAAGTTTTCTATAAAACAACATTATTTGTATTCAAGATCTCCTGCCAAAGTTCAACTGTTCCAATACCATGAACTGAAAAACCAGTACACTTACCTTGTTATATCCATCCTGAGCATGACTCAAAAGAGATACTATGTCAATAATTTTGCCTGGCTTTTGATTCTGTTCTTCTCCTCTGTTAAGGAGACAATTTTCTCTTGATTGACCCTTACTGTGGGGAGGTTGTTGATTAGGTTGAATTTTTTTACCTCTGCCAAGGGAAAGTTCTTCTGTAGGCTGAGCTTTCTGATGCTTCAGAGATAACTGTTCCTGATTATTAGGGATGGGTGGCTGAGCTAATCTAAAGAATAAGATAAAGCGTGATTAATAAAGCAAAAAGAGATTAACTACATAATACTAACATTTAAAAATACCTGTCTAATCCCAATTACTTGATACTTTTGTTTTTCCATAATTATCAACATAATTAATTTTGTATAATAGGAAAGACACAAGGCATTCACATTCTGTTTTGAGACTAATTATCTTGCACAACAAAATCAACAATCAGAAAAGTTCAGAGCATGTAATCTTTAAAGCTATACTCGTTAATAATCCAATTTCTGTTTGGAGTATTTAACCTATTTATATTTTCTGCTTGTACTTTATTCTTTCAAATTGTTACATCTTAATCATCCACAATAATTTCTTAAGATAACTAGTGGTACAGACTGCACCATATGATTATCTTACCTCATCAAGAGATGTGCTATTTGTAAGCACTCATTCCTTTCATAGAACCATATGCCATATATGATACCTGAAAATGTTATTAAAGTATGTTTACATTCAGACACTAAATATGTACTGTGATACAAACAGAGATGCTAATAAACCATTCAAAAATGTAGTTTTTTAATTCTAGAATTTGAAATCTTCATAAAAATTTAAATCTTTGGTTTCTGATAGTAAACGGTTGAAAATTCAATTCTTAGTAAGTGAAAGAAAATAATACATACCAACATTGACTTTTGAACTAAAAACTGTGTATATAACATGGCTATAAAAGAGTTTCTCTTTAAAATATCAGCTTTTCATAAACATGTAATTTTAGGTTTAAAAAAAAGCCTAGCTTACACAACAAGTTTTACATTACTCTTCTATAAAGTTTTAAAGCTTTTATATAAAAAAAAAAGACATTTCTGAACATTAATGTCACACACATTTATAATTAAAGTGGTATTATGTAGTTTATAAAAGAGTATATGTTCTATGGCATATTAATAGATGGAGTAACACCATCTCACACATTTATAATTAAAGTGGTATTATGTAGTTTATAAAAGAGTATATGTTCTATGGCATATTAATAGATGGAGTAACGCCATGATTTATCTTTACCTACAAATCAAGTGAATGAGCTTGTTTTAAATAAAATATTTAAGGTACAAAGACAAATGTCATGTTACCACAACAATGGATTGATTATTTGTTCTAGATATCTACTTAAGGCACTAGCCATCCCTCATTTTATATTGATAGACTAGAGGTAACAAAGCTAGTCAATAGCACCAAATGCTAACGTTTAGGCTACTTTAATCAGATAGTAGGAACAATCTGTAACTCTTACAAAAATCTTTCGACAATACAGCACTTACAAACTCTGAATATTTATAATTCCCAACAGTTCTAACCAAGTTTCAAGCAAAATCCAATCTATTCTCTACGTTCTCAAGCACTTTGCTTGTCAGACTATTGGTCATTTCTTTTATACTTTTGTTTGCTACATAATGAAATTAAAAATCAATGTGGGACGATCATTAGCTTTTGACAAAATACCTGATTAACTTATTTACATAGTAACAGACTAATTTACCATATCTATTGCAACAAAATTCTCTGTGCCAACCAACTAGTTATTTTATCTCAATGTAAAAATAATATTAATCTATTACAATTAATGGGGTGTGAGCCAACATTATTCTTAAAAAAAACCTCAAGAGAAAATTCAAGTAAACAATGGAGGAAAATATATTTAATATGACCATAATAGTAACAAGTAACAACAACTGAAGCTTTAACACTTCACATGACTATCTCTTTTGTGTTGTCATAATATTTTACAATAATCAGGTCTGGTTTACCACAGTAAGCACCACACATGGTGTTATGTTAACTTTACAATTATCCCATCCTGTTAAGAGTTAGCAGATAAATATTATTTTCATAGTGAGACAAAATGACTGACACTTGTTTTTTTTGCAATAGCTAAAGCACGTGGCCATGGCCATGTCAATAGCTAATAACTGTCCCACATTTAATCATCTAGTATTAAATAGATATACAAGAATAGAGACTGATATGTCAGATGCTCAAAACCATAGGGAAAAAGAGTTGATATTATAGCTTGGTAATTAATAGAATTTGATAAACCAATAATCATCAGATGCATTAATTGATTGCAGTTAACAAATCAATCATTCTAACGAGACTTGGATAGTTGGAATAATCAAAAATAAAAACAACTGGAAACACTACTTTCAATTAGTTAATTATTCTTATGACATCAATCAATACAATAGTAATTTTGATTAATCAATTATTTTACAACACTGAGTCGATCCGCAGTTCTGTTGGATACTGCTTGAGATACGATTAAAGGTTTTGTGTATCATGAATAATTAGTTTTAAGTGTTGTATTATCAAACAGATTTTTACGATTAATTACTGAGGGTTTTTTTTCTGGTTCTTTATCTTAAGTCCTTGTATCAATGTTATATTATTGAAGTACTGCACCGATTATTGAATTAGATGTTTTGAAGTTGTAAAAATTGCATTACTGAGTTAAAATTTCTTTGAAGTTTAGATGTGTTGTCTGTAAACATCTGAGTATAGAAATTATGAATTGTATTTTTAGCTGCGGCATAGTACATCATAGAGTGGCTCCGAGTTTTTCAAGTACAAGCTTTTAGCTCATAGCTCCTTCATCTCTTGACTGATTTGAATTTTAATTACAGTTTTGGACTTTTGATTGATGTATTTGACCATGCCAAAGGTCTCATACATTAATTTACTCTAATTCTGCCTAAAAGAATTTCAATTTGAGGGTAGGCTGGTAGAGATCCTGATGATTGATAAAACAGAATCAGGTATACGTGCACCCCCACGATTGGTATTGTTGGTGCACAAAAATATAGCTAATAAAAAGGAAAAGAAAAAAAAGATCTCATACTTTAATTTACTCTAATCCTACCCAGAATAATTTCAAGTGCCACTGCTATTGAGGACTCCCTCTTGTTTTTACTTATGAGAGTTTAGATAAATGTTCTGTTTTTTAGAATCCCAGTATTAAAGTTTCAATTATTCTTAGGTTGGAATAAAGAAGTTTGGAAGAATCAACCAAAAAATGTGCCATTCTTCAGTCTGATGTACTCATAAAGCATGGAATAGAAGTCATACCTCTTGTGTTATGATACAAAAGGAAAGGATTCTGAAGTTGAAATTCCATTTCCGTTGTGATTGGTTCTACCAAATTGGTGGTGTTCAGCCTATTCATGATGACAAACCCATGCTTTGGTGGTTGTGACCTAAGATAAGAGCATATAAAATCACATATATTTTCAAAATCAAACAAGTTGTGACTTGGTATTAAAATGACAGATATTTGAGTTTCAAAGAAACCAGAAACTTTTTAAATTGGATTAATATATATTTTACTAATAAATACAGTTTTATAATAAACTTCTGTTCTAACATTTTGCAAAGAACATATGTTGAATTTCAAAGATATTAGATCGTCAAGAAATTAATGTCGCTTTTTTTAGATGAAAAAACCCAAACAAGTTATATATCAAAA